CAATTCGGGGCGCACCTGGTGGTGCTGAGCAGCGAGAAAGAGCAGGTGAGAAACTCTAAAAATTCCCCAAAAATACCCCAAAATTCACAAATCCTAAAATTCCCCAAAATCCGGGTCAAAATACCCCAAAATACCCCAAAAATACCCCGAATTCTCAAATCACCAAATTCCCAAAAATCCGGGTCAAAATACCCCAAAATATCCCAAAATTCCCCAAAACAACCCAAACTATCCCAAAAATTCCCCAAAAATACCCCCAATTCTCAAATCCCAAAATTCCCAAAAATCCGGGTCAAAATACCCCAAAATATCCAAAAAATACCCCAAAAATACCCCAAAATACCCCCAAAAATACCCCAAAATATCCCAAAATTCCCAACAATACCCCAAAATATCCAAAAAATACCCCAAAATACCCCCAAAATACCTCAAAATATCCCAAAATCCCCAAATCCCAAATCCGTACAATCCCAAATTCGGGGCGCACCTGGTGGCGCTGAGCAGCGAGAAAGAGCAGGTCAGAAACCCTAAAAATTCCCCAAAATATCCCAAATTCCAAAAATGCAAAAAATCCCAAAATTCTGGATCAAAAAATCCCCAAAATGCCAAAATTCTGAGTTAAAAAATGCCCCAAATCCCAAAATTGCAGATTTCCAAATCATCAAAATCATCATAATCCCAAATCACAAAAACCCTCAAAATTCCAAAATTCCCAAATTCATCAAAATCCCAAAATTTTCAAAATTCCAAAATTTCCAAAAATCCAGATCAAAAAATCCCCAAAATCCCCAAATTCTGGATCAAAAAAACTCCAAAATTCCAAAACATCGAAAGCCCAAAAAATCCCAAAATTCTGAATCCAAAAATCCACCAAATCCCAAAATCCCAGAATTCCCAATCACCAAAATCCCAAAAGTCGCAGAATTCTCATTCATCAATATCCCCGAAATTCCAAAATTCCCAAAATTGGCAAAATCCCCAAAATTCCAGAATTCCAAATGATCCAAATCACAAATCCCAAAAATGAGCAAATCCCAAATCAGAAAAGCACCCAAAATCCCCCAAATTCCAAAATTCGAAAATCAAGGAATTCCTAAAATCCTGAATCCCAAAATTCCGGAATTCCAAATCCCAAAAATCCCAAAATTCTCCAGAATTCCAAAATCCCCAATTGCAAATCCCAAATCTGAAAGAGCTGAAAATTCCTCAAAAAATCCCCTAAAAAATCCCATTTTTTTGCTTCTGAACCACCTGAAAATTCCCTAAAAAATCCCAAATTCCCTAAAAATCCCAAAATTCCCTAAAAATCCCGAAGTTCCCTAAAAAATCCCAAAATCCTTTAAAAAAGATAAAAATTTCCCTTTAAAAAACCCGTAAATCTCCTAAAAATAAACCCATAAATTCCCATTTTTTTGCTTCCGAACCACATGAAAATTACCTAAAAATCCCCAAATTCCCTAAAAATCCCAAATTTTCCTAAAATTCCAAAAATTCCCTAAAACCCCACTAAAAACCCTCTAAAAATTCCCTTAAAAATCCCAAAGTTCCCTAAAAAATCCCTTTAAAATCCCTTTTTTTTTGCTTTGGAATGACCTAAAAATTCCCTAAAAATTCCCAAAATTGCTAAAATTCCCGAATTTTGTTTTTTTTTTCCAGGTTTTTGTGATGGAGAATCTGCAGGGCAACAATTCCTATTGGCTCGGGGTGAAAATCCGGCACCGCGAGGGAAATTGGGTCTGGGTCAACGGAGAAAAACCCAATTTCGGGTAAAAAATCCTAAAAATCCCCCCAAAAAATCCCAAAAATCCTAAAAATCCCCAAAATCTCAAAAATCCTAAAAATCTTAAAAATCCCAAAAATCCCAAAAATCTCAAAAATCCCACAAATCCCACAAATCATAAAAATCCCCAAAATCCCAAAATCCCAAATCCCCAAAATCCCCAAAATCCCCAAAATCCCAAATCCCCAAAATCCCAAATCCAATCCCAAATCCCATTTTTCCACTTTCTTAAAGGGATTTTGGAATTTTGGGGATTTGGGATTTTGAGAATTGTGGGATTTTGAGATTTGGAATTTTGGGATTTGGGGGATTTGGGGTTTTGGGGATTTTTGGATTTAAAGGATTTTGGGGATTTTGAAAATTTGGGGATTTGAAGGATTTTGTAATTTGGGATTTGGGGATTTGGTTTTTTAGGATTTTGGGATTTTGCGGATTTTGGGACTTTGTGGATTCAGCATTTTGGGATTTCGGGGATTTTGTGGATTCAGAATTCTGGGATTTGGGGGATTCGGAATTTTGGGATTTTTGGCATTTCGTGGATTCAGAATTTCGGGATTTTGTGGATTCAGACTTTTGGGATTTTGGGGATTTTGTGGATTCAGAATTTTGGGATTTGGGGGATTTTGGGGATTTTGGTCTTTAGGATTTTGGGATTTTGGGGATTTTGTGGATTCAGATTTTTAGTATTTGACGGATTTTCCCGTTTTTTCCCCAGATTTTGGGACGTGTGGGAGAAGGACCCCGAGCGGTCCCAGAAGGAGTGCGGGGCCATGAAACCCGGAGGGCGTTGGGTGAACGAGAAATGCTCGAGGGAGCTGCGCTGGATCTGCGAGAAACCCTGGGATTGCTGAAATCATAAAAAATCCCAAAAATCCAAAAAATTCCAAAATCCTAAAATCCTGAAATCCTGAAATCCAAAAATCACAAAATCCCAAAAATCTAAAAAAAAAACCCATTAAAAATCCCAAATCCCCCAAATCCCTGCTCGAGGGAGCTGAGCTGGATCTGCGAGAAACCCTGGGATTGCTGAAATCATAAAAATCCCAAAAATCCCAAAAATCTGAAAATCCTAAATTCCAAAAATACGGAAATCCCAAATCCCGAAAATTCCCAATTCAAAAATCCCAAAAATCGTAAAATCCCTGTTCGAGGGAGCTGCACTGGGTCTGCGAGAAACCCTGGGATTGCTGAAATCCTAAAAATCCCAAAAATCCCAAAATCCTAAATTCCAGAAATCCCAAAATCCCAAATCCCAAAAATCTAAAAAAAAAACCCATTGAAAATCCCAAATCCCCCCAATCCCTGTTCCCGGGAACTGCGCTGGATCTGCGAGAAACCCTGGGACTGCTGAAATCCTAAATCCCAAAAATCCCAAAAATCATAAAATCCTGAAATCCTGAAATCCTAAATTCCCAAAATCCCAAAATCCCAAAATCCCAAAAATTCCCAATTCAAAAATCCCAAAAATCATAAAATCCCCGTTCCTGGGAGCTGCGCTGGGTCTGCGAGAAACCCTGGGATTGCTGATCCTAAAAATCCCAAAAATCCCAAAAATCTGAAAATCCTAAATTCCAAAAATCACAAAATCCCGAAAATCTAAAAAAAAAAACCCATTAAAAATCCCAAATCCCCCAAATCCCTGCTCGAGGGAGCTGCGCTGGATCTGCGAGAAACCCTGGGACTGCTGAAATCATAAAAATCCCA